CGTGACCAGATATGCTTACGCTATTTTTTTACATTTATAATTTCCCATATTATTACTATGTATGACTCCATGATAATAATAATAATAAAAACTATAATACAACGCTAATGGTTGGTTTTTTTATAATTCGTAACTATATAAGGAAAAATATATAATTGTATAAAACTTTCTATATGTATAAATATATTATTAATTTATTTATGCCGTACAGTTGATAATTTTAACCACGTGCGTAATATAAAGACATGAAATAGTGGGTTAACGTATGTATGTATTATTATATGCAAAAATTTCCCATGGTTTTCCTGGTTCAAACTCTTGAACTAAATCAGTGTACGTGGCAGCAGGTGTAGGCTGAGCAACAGACCARTCTTTATTCTTATTTTCAGTTTATGAATCCGGCCATCCATCTCCAATATTTCGTCCAGTCGATCAAGTTCTAAATATGACATGACCTACTCAATATGGAAAAAATTTTATTATTTTAAAATGCTTACCCATCGTTTTGCAGGACCAACACCTGATAAATTTTGTTTTGTTGTTCCTAGAGCTCTTAAAAATCTGTGCTATCTGACGTTAGATCTTTCTCAGTAAGTTTCCACTGAGTAATAAGTTTTGACTGTGTGTTTGGACCTCCCGGATAGCTGCTATGCTGCATTTATACAAAAAAATATAGAATAAAAACAAAGAAATTTATGTGAAAAACTTAGCTAGCCTAAGTTAAAATCATTTCCGAAAATTTTCCCTGCAACTCACTTATGGCATCATGTTGCCTAATATATTCCATGTTAGAATTATTGGCATGTGCTGTAGCGTGTTGTTGCGTATTTTGTGGTATGGACTGCTGCTGCTTTGGTTCAATATGAACACTTGATGTGCGTTTATTTGATTTTGTAARTTTTGGAGTACTGCGCCACTTGAAGATGCTAAAAATCGTATAATAAACACATTCTTAAAAAAATGTATTAACATAAATTTACCTTAATATTTGTCAATAATTGATATAAAAGTACAAGCATTGAGGATGGTAAAGGTTCTGATATGATTTAGCTAGACAAGTATCCACTGTGAACAGCTAGTTGAATTTGCTGCACAAGTACACGCAGCTGTTGAGCAGATGATTGATTGTTACTACTTGAAGTTGAATTTACAGTCGCTGAGACATTAGCGACCCCTGGACTAAAAGTAACAGCAGTATTCATAGCTTGTGGGACATTAGAACGTGGTGTGGTACTGGATTCAAATACTTTTGCACTGGAAGTGATTGTATGGAATTGAGCGCTGCTATATTTGTGTTATTACCACTAACACCAGCACCGTTGCTGCTCATACTGTTCAACATATTCTACAAATAAATAACCACACAAACGTAAATATTAATACATACGAGTAAACACAAGAGGTAGAATAAATTTAATGCATACTATGACTTACCGGAGGGAAAGGCACATTAGACTGTGAGGCCGATGAGGGATAGCGTCCCGCAAAAGTGCCCCCAGTGTTTGTGTGATCACTATAAGAACCCAGGGATTCTTCGTGTCGTCTCCAATCTGTAGATATAGGAGCACGAAGTAAATCAGCAGCCTCCTCGATGTTCATATTGGTATTAATTAAGGCTCGTTCTACATCTTCCTTTTTAAAGCCATTTCCCACAAGAAGACGATACTGGTTACTCTGTTTTATCACATCTCTGTTCAAGTTACTAACATTAACACCACCTATTTTTTGCAGAGTTTTGCCAACAATGGCAGCATGAGTATTCCAGACAGATGGCAAGTCTGTACCATCGCTACCTCCACTTGCACCCCAGCCAGAAGTACTACCTGATATTTTATTTTGGTTCTTACTCCAAGACGGTGGTGAATCGTTCCAAGAATTAGCTCCACCAACACTAACGTCTAGCTGTACTATACCAGTAGTAGTTTTATCATCCATCCAATTAACGCCTGAATTTGGGCCCACATTATGATTGACTTCATCACCCCAAGAAGTGGTGTTACGTGAGCTTACATTTAAGTTAGTGGCATGGACCCACATAGAATTATCAGGTTTATGCTGATTAACACCAACACCAGGACCAACACCTGAACTAAGTCGTCCTTGCGGACCTACACTGCTTATAGGGTTGTTGGCACTACCGCCAACGACTGACGCATTTATTACGATTGGATTATTTCCCAATCCATTGCCAGAGCTATTACCCAGGCTACCGCCTGCATTCGTCGTGTTCTGATTGCCTACAGTGTTTCGCGTTAAATGCCTATTCAGTGGATCTGATATATCCTTCCAATGAGAACCACTCCCACCAGGTATACGTGACTGTTGTCCCGACAATGATGTCCCGTCGTCATAGTTGGGAATATTGCGGCGGTGCGGAGGTAGCGATGGTTCTTCCCACCCAGTAACTTAACCTGCCATTGATGTTATATCTTTCGGTCCAACCACCGCCGAAGAAGGTCCCCAGTGAGCGTTCACGTTGCCGCTTATACCAACAGGGTTTATGGCATTAATATTACCAGGGGGGTTACTATGTAAGGCGTTTCGCAAGTGGAAACGCTCGTTAATGAAAAAAAGCAACTCTGTAAGGCGACAAGCACATTGGAAATCGCGTTTTGCGAATTTTTGATTCGACATCAAACTGGCATGAGCAACAGACAAAAAATATAAGTTTATAAGGCATATTTGTAGTTTTAATAAAAAAAAATTTATTTAGCAGGGAATATTCTAAAAATAAACAAACAAACCCAACCCAAATCGAAATTTTAATTAATTATATGAAAACACATTCGGAACTTTCCAAAGGACAACTGAAAACTGTGGACGAGAAAAATGCTGCAAATAATTTATGGAAAAAGTTGGTATGTGACCTTAATGCTGCGGGCCCACCATCGTGCGATGTTTTAAAATGGAAAAAGGTAAAAACGATTAATTATAAAATTTTGAAGCACATATTACTTAATTATTGCTCCTTAACACCGTTGGAGGAGCAGGTTAGTGAGCTTCTGGCAATGGAAATATCCGTCAGTGGAATAAGCGGCACCTTAGAATTTAGTGCAGCACGGTTAACGCAACCAAGTGGGTCAGACATCACAACCGACGAAATCCGACAGAATGAGCCAACACCAGTGGATGAAATGCCACATTGCTCACGTCAAAGAGTCGCTCCGCAAAAAAAAAGAGTCTTTTAAATAAGCAGGTGGATAACCAAATCGCTTATCACAAAGGTTCATTAAAAGTGTTGTCTGAAATTAATGACAACCTAAAGGTGATTTCAAAATGTATGAAAAAAACCATAAAATGGGTAAAAGAAAATATAAATTGGCTGTTAAAAAACTCGAACACAAAAAAAGGATTGATATGGACAAAATAAAACTAAAATTTGCAAAATTAGATCTAACAAAGCAAATGCTAGAAATTGAACGGCCCGACCAATAAAAATGTTGTATTTTAGTTATTGACATTGAAGTCCATTACTTATTTTTTAATACCTACTGATAATTGTTTATTTATTATAGTAATAGTTTAAATGAATTATTTTGATTTCAAAACGTATTTTGTGTTGATGTGATAGTTTTTACTTTTTATTACATATATAATACTTACATATATAGATATGTATACACATGTGCAACAGACTAAGGCTTTATATCATTAATGTGAATTTTAATCAAAAAAATGTGAAAATGTGAAAAATTAAAAGTTTTTATTAAATAGACTTATATGTTTATAAAGTAATCATACTGTTTTTTATTTGATCTTTTAAACGTTTAGCAATACATATTGGTTTGATTCGCATTTCCTATGGTTTCAGTATTACTAGCATCAACTTCTTCAACTTCTATTGCTATATTGGCAGGTGATTCCGCATTAAAAAGAGTGCAAATATTATGAAGAGCACAACAGAGAACGTCTATCATAGAGAAGGTTCACGGCGCGGAGATCGTAAAAATATTTTTGGCTAACTCGGTCGAGATGAGCCAGTTTCACCACTGCCAGCTCGGCAGGAGAAATTTTAACATTTTCGTATGAACAGAGCTGAGCGTGAAATAAA